ACTGCAACAAATTCCGATGCTAAACTCATGTGTGGACTCTGCTGGTCACATACAGTACACTGACTGTGTTTACATGTAAAGTGGGTTGACATGGCCATATGGCCATCATGGAGGTCAAAGCAGACCTTTCCCTCCGATAAAATGGCACATAAATCCATCCAATCATGTGGCTTAACACTGGCCAATAGGCTGAAGCAGGCTGAATCAGTGGCCTGTTTTTCTGTGTCACACAGGTCACGGTGCTTGGAGAGGGGACAGGGGCTGTGCGGAGAGCCATAACCGTGCCCTGTGTACACAACTAAGAATCACATGAAGTACGCTGTCTTGAGGGGTTGCAGCAGTAATGATTTAAGACGGTCATGATAAGCAGAGAGTGTTCCGAGATTCATCTGATTTAATGTGTTGCTCACTGTGTGTGGGAGGATGGCTCATTTGTTTCCTTAGAAGAATTTAAAACCCAATACCCACTGGAATACTCCTCTAACTCCTCTTATACGACTGCAACACTTGGTTTGAATTTCTGATCAATCAGTTAAATGCACTTTGGGGTGCATGAAACAAAACGTCACAATGCTCTAATATGGATAATAAACAGAGGTTAAAACAAACACCAAAAATCTAAATGTGCCTCTACCTCAGCACGCAAAAGACTTAAAAATGAAGCCGGGAGATACAAAGGCTATTTCCCAGGCTATCAAAGGATATTTGTGCCCCGCATAATAACACTGGAAGTGACTTTTTCATTACTTTATGGAGCAGAACCAACAGTAGATGCAGTCATTTGCATAAAATGATGAGAGACGTTCCATGCAGGACTGGGGAAATGTTTTAATATAAGAGCTCTTTCTTGTATCACACAGAATACAGATGCATTTGTAAATGTTGTCTCCCCATCAGAAGAATGGCCAAGGTGATTATTCATGATAAACTGAACCAGTTTTAAAGGTTCATTCTCATATTTCAGTGGAAGTGAACCATTACCAGTACAGAAAACTAACATCTCCTGAGTACAAAAAAAACAAACAAACAATAAAAAGTTGTTAGATATTGTCATCTACTATAGACAGGAAGTGCACCAAACTCAATCTCAGTCAATGAGATCCCAGGATATCACATTCCTCAAATCAGATTGGCACTCTTGTGTCAACACACTACAGTAGCTCCTCCCTGCTGCCCTGGGAGGATAGGATTCACAGCAGCCAGCAATTATCTGTAATGTGGGAGAAAAATCAATATGCCCATGGAAAGCTGCTAAGGTCACCAAGTCGAGGCTGTCGTTTGAATCAGAGGCGCTGTGTTGCTGTAGGTTGGGCTCCCAGCCTCCCAGTGAATATATATGAAAGCATGCATCATTTCTAATTGTGTGGATTATGGCAATTATTAGCCCGACGATATGGAACATAATTCCTTTGTTCATGTGAACTTGGAAGGATGGAAAATCATTTAATATTTCAATCTTCTGGTAAACCATTAGAAATCGCCACTGAAGATCAAATCTGAAGCATAATTTCATCATGTTATTTCATACCTCGGGTTACACTTTCAGAGGCTGAATTTGCCACGAATATAAAATCCAAGAAAGACTAAAACACATTATAACGAAATTAAATTCGACTGAAAGTATAACATTCTCTTCTCGCGTCTCAAATGCCTTCAGCTCATTTTAGAATAATAAAGAAGTGAAAGTGGCTATTGACTCACCTTTGCTGCTCTTGTTTCTTGCTCAAAGAGCTGTCAACCCAAATTTCAGTTTTGCCTTCATTTTCAAGTTCCATGTCTTCTCTCTGTGTTAGGCATTCACAACTGGAGCTGGTGGAGGACAGGCTTAGAGTGTGCCCCCTTTGGGGCTTAGAAGATCCCGGCATTGGTGCAAGGGGAGGGGAGGCCTTCTTGAAACGTTGATAGTCTGGTGTAGATTCTATTAACGGCAAAGGGATATTGAGAAGGGTGAAAAATCAATAGCTTTAGGCCAGTAATGTTTGAAGGATCAGGCTGGGGGGCGAAAGTGAGAAGGCATAGCCTAGCCCTAACGCTGAAACTGTGCCTGTAAGTGGTTAATCAAGTGGGTGTCTGACATCCAGATTGCATTTTCCTCTCACCATTACACCCATTTTCCTCCTTCACTGCAGAGAAGATATGCTATCAAATGCAATAGATGGGAATGAGAGAACTAAAAGCACCCAACAATCGGATAGAGGTCCACTCTTCTGGTGGGATTGAAGACGGCCTTTTGGTTCCACTTCTCAGCTTTCAAAAGGCAAGTGCACCACGTGTCAACTTTGCGCTAATAGCTTTGACATTACAGTTGCATGCATAAAAGGAACACGCATGTGACTCTCACAGAGCGGCCTTCAGTCTTGTGGAAATAACGTGTTGTCTGAGATGAGTCACAGAATTAAAATTTCACATTTGTGAGCCACACCATGTTGTTGTGACCTTTATAAAAGGAGGAAGATGCCCCATTATTTCAGTGATAATTATCATTGACACTAAAAGCAAGGGCTGTATTACTCACTTTTGGTGGCCCTCAAGGACAGACTCTCATTTCATTTGTTTCATATGTTATTAAAGGTTCACAACACCAAGGAGCCAAGAGTCACTTCATAGTGCACCAGCACAGACAAGTGACAGAAAGGAGACACTGCATGGAGCAAAGTTAGGCCTGCGGTGCACCATGTAATACTGTTGCACTGCATTTATGCTTTTTTAGGGTTCTTTTGGAACTTGGACTTTTATTCAATTTTCATTTAGTGTGTCATCGCCCTAAAACGCCAAATAAAAGACAGAAAAAATCAAACTGATGAGCTAACAGAAACAGACAGGTATCAGTCAGTGTGCAATGAAAATGAAAGCAGGTGCAGACAAAACCTACATCTGTTTTTAAAATTGTGTCTCATTCCAAAAAATCCCAAATAATTGCTACATTCTAAGTGCTGCCCTTCATTCAAACAAACATGAAAATCAGAATATGCAGTTTTTTGTTTTGTTTTTTCAAATCTTTGAGCTGTTTCATCCAGTCCCCTTTGCCTTAGAATACTGCTGGGTTTAACAAATCCAACCATGGCAACAGAATATTTACCTTTGGTCACATTTCTTATTTTGGAATTAATATTTTTTATATTGTTTGGTTATTTTAGCAAGTGTACTGAAGATAGCCTAGTTAAAGCCTTGCAGAGAGTTATTTGCTTCTATAGCAATTGCTTACACTATTTTGCCCGTCTACATCTGACTGGGAGGATATTAGCCTATCCATCATTTAAGCAAAGTTGCTGTGGGGATGATGTTGTGTATATGAATCCGGTCATATTACCTGATTTTAAAACCTACTCTGAAGCGAGACACAGCAGAATAAATGTGCTTATGTGATATTAGTATTTCTAGTTGAGTGTAATCATTTTACCTGCACAAGGCCTGAGGCCATGAGATGTTCCAGCACAGAGACACTGAGCGAAGAGAGTGGTGGCCTTCATACTCCAAATTGACAATTAGCATTACCAATCATGTCTTGGCTCAATTGATTATTAAGAAGGGCTGTTATTGCCATCTGCTAGCAATTTTCTCCACTCTCATAGATAGAGGGCACTGGTTCTAGATCCCAGCTATGATAACTCATGATATGATGGAAAAGCAACTTGATTTATATTTAATTGCTTTTCTAGGTATTTTTTTAAAATTGCTAATAAACATCCCGAATACATTCAAGGATTTAGACAAAGGTGGCGATAATATCCCCAATAACTTACTGAGGATTGTGCAGCTTATTATTTTCCTACCGTAACTGCACCTGGACAGAGGTAACAAAAAAGAAACGATTTCATGCTGAGAAATTCTGCAGGGGCTCCAAAGTCTTTTCTTATAAAATGTATTCATACCTGAAGAAAAAACCAACAACTTCTGCAAGACATTCCCAAAGTCCACAGAGTGTTCTCTCTCTGTCATCCTTTCTGGTGGTTGGTGGATGTGTAAACTGCACCTATCCCTCTGAGAAATGATTAACCGGAAGTCTGATGAGAATCTTTTCAGGAGCTTTTACTCCTAACTCCACCACCAAGACATAAGTGGATCAAACTTAAAGCTGCGCACTTATCACCACTTCCCCTGTCTGTTTGGTGGACTGGTATCTGATGAATCCTTATCGAGGCCATACAGTGCTGGTTCACATGTCATGTTATCACGCTGGTCCCTTCCCCAGGGCTCCCACAGGAAACACCCATTCAGAGCGCATTGCATGCCATGTATCTCAACTGCTTTGGGTGAAAAAATGCAGAGTGGTTCAGTAACCCTAACTCTAACCCTAACCCAAGTTGATATGGGCAAAGTGTGTCCAATATGTTTAGTCACAGTGACGACTGCATCAGGGAGCTTAATTGAAAAGGTTATATTTTGGTTTCGAACATGTAGAGAAGTTCAGGTAATCAGCAACTGCTTGCAGAGATTTACTCATTTGTTGAACTCTGTTGAACAGTGACAGGTCGTTTGTAAACAAGCATAAAAACCTTTAGTATAGTTATGTAAAATCATAACTTGTTTTGAGTGCATGATTTAGATAAGCCATAATCATAGATTCTGAGACAACACTTTTTTTTTATTTATTTGGAATTGTTGCTGTTTTTATTTTTGTTTACCCCAGGACTATATTCAACATTTGACACCAGGACCAATTTAAATAGTTTTTCTGAGTCAGGCACTTCCCTCACAAATAAATGACTAATCCAAATCCCCTGGTGTTTTTGCTTGTGCTAGTGTTTTTTGGGGGAAATTAACATAGCTGCAGTTGTTATTAAAATGCTGAAAGCAGGAAGTAGTGAGTCACAGAATTAGGAGGTGGAGGAAGGACCTAAAGATGCAGGCGCGTATTTCATAATCCATGGCCGGAATATTGGGGATTTGACTCGGTGCAGACCAGGTGCTGCTGGGAGGTTCTCTCGCTATGAACTGTCGCAGGATATGAGTCTCTTTTCACACTTTTGCTGTTCAATACGTGACCAGTGAAACGAGACATGTCCGCTCAAGGACTGTTAAGCAGTGTTTTCTCATGCTCGCTAAGCCCTAAAAGTATTTCCAAGCGGAGACTGAGGCAGACCAGGAGTTTAGACTCCGCGCTGACGCGACACTATGGGACCGAAGCTGAGGAGACATCGTATAAGGTCAGTCCCTCAACTGTTCTTCTGATTAGTTTAATTGCTGAACAGCACTGTTTGTGCACTGGTTTGGTGTCAGATAACAAAGGCAGAGAGTACAGATGATAACGCCTTGACTGGTGGGGATGCAAATGTCCTCAAAGTTCGAATACACGTCCAAAAAGAAGTTTAGTTTTAGTCCGTAACTGGTTAAATGAGCAACAGTTTACAGGATTTAAAAAGGGAAAACTCAAGTCTGTGCGCCCCACTTATTCTTACCAAATTCCGGAAGTGGCTGGAATTCCCTTATGGATTATGCTTGTTGCCAAGTAGGATTGTTGGAAAATTGCTTTGATAAAATAGGGGAAATGGATATTTTTTAAACTTTCTTACTAAGCAATTCAATATGTAATGATTAATCGTAGAAAAATGCATAGGACATCTTTGTGCCCTGTTCTTGCAACATCACCAAGTGTCTGACTAACAGGACAACTTTGATTCACGTGTGAACCTCAGATGCGCCTTTAGCGGCCATCTGCGTCACCATAAATGATTCAGATGGCTTTAAAAAAAAATGAATTATGTCTGCAGCTAATGCTGTAATAGGGATGCGGGCAGATGCGTCACGTTTGGCATAACTGATGTCATGAAAGTGCACTTTTACATACTGTTCATTTCAAAGCTGGATTCTGGATGAAAGCATGCATGTTGTATATGTGGTGATTTTGTTTTTTTGATGGGGGGTGGCAATGCCAGTTTTCTATCTATTAACATGGCAATCAGAAATAGTATAAAATTACATACTTTCATACATTGTGAAATTGTGTAGCTATGTTCTTATCAGACCTCTATATAATTACTAATAAACTTTAGTTGCAAAACAGCAGGAGCACATTGAACCTGAGCTTAGTGGGGGGGGAAATTACTAGCAATTGCTACTGTGTAGAAAAAGCACTATTCATTTGGCAATTTTTGGTCTTTTGCTTAAAATGCATGTGGGTTGTGTTGTTTACTTTATTTTAAATGATGACTTGGCACCATAAAAAGGTTTGTAATGAAAGCCAAGAACCTGATATCCAGAGGTGTCCAAGATAACCAACAGCTGGAGCTCTTTAGAAAATCCCTGTGAAACAGATTATTCCAAGAAACAATTCCTTGACAGATAAGATATTAAATTAGTTATGACTTTGCATCTATATGTACAAGCTTTACTTAATTTCAAAGAAATGTCAAGCTGTATCACATTACCTCCTTTGCATATAGCAAAAAATAATGTAATTTTAGTTGTAACTGCTTGTCATTTGTATATTTCCTGTTTATCAGATCTGCAGAGGATGTAAATGTAAATGTTCAAATATAAAAGGGAAGAATTTTATGGACTCTAGCTAAAGTCTCAGACCCTATCTGGAGACTCACATGAACATGCTGTCAGCTTACAATCACAGCAAGTCAGTGCCTTTGTATGTAAACCTTACGCCAAGTCAGTAATCAAAGTCACATTTTGTGGGTGTGCACACATTCAGGCAGTGCTTCATTCAGGGACAAAAGTATCCATGAGACTGTTGCTACAACAGTAGTGAAATCAGGAATGTAGTATGCTTGTCTTTTTTGTTTTTTTTGTACAAAACTGAGCTGCACCTCCGCCCAGTAATGAACCCAACACTGTAAGGCTCCGATGTACAATATGTCCTATTACTCACAGTCTGGACTCCTTTCATAAACATAGAAAACTACTCTATTTAGTTCATCAAAAACCACCCAATGGGTCATATGAAAATGTTGAAATTGCAGGGTGCCCCATTTTTAAATAATTAAGGTATTACAAAGCTGTCACTACCTTGCTTTGTCTTTTTTTTTAAAGTTTGGTTTTGACATGAAAACACATAATTTCATTTGCTTTAAACCTCCTGTCAGAGTGGCATTTCTTTTGTTTCTTTCATTAAATTGCCTTGTACCTTCCCCAGGTTGGAAATCATTGTTTTTTAATAGGAGTTTACTTACTGTGAATCTCAGGAGTCTGAGCTGAGATGGAAAGCAGAGACATCTGGTTTACGTGAAGAAGGCCTTAAGTCTTATTTCTCACAGTACAGCAGCATGACCTGATCCTTGGCTACATTCCCTCATGCACATATTTCTTCCCACCAGAGACTGTCAGCTTGCATGGCATAAGGCTGAATCTGCAGGCCTGCAAATGCCAGCACTGTAGCATCAAGCATATATGTTTGATAGATGAAAAAGTAAAACAATTGTTTTGTCAGTTCATTTGAACCTCAAGTTTTTCCCATTGTTTCTAAAAAACAGCTATGATCTGTTAAGTTTAAGGGTGCTCTCTGTCTAAAAGGGTTAGATACTTCCATTTAGCTCACTTTGTTCAAGAACAGCAAGGCAATTTAGCCATTTCATGTTTTAAAATGATAAACTTTGCCATAAAAATGCCAGATAAGCTTGAAGAAAGGAGTTTGTGTTCTGTGTGTATCACACTCAAGTGTGCAACAGAGACAGAACACTGAGCACTTCAAGTTTTATTAGACCAGATCATACCACAGCACCGAGGACAGTTAAACAGATGCATTATCTTCATTTTAGGTATTTACCAAAGAATATGAGGTAACACAGATATGCACTAATCACCTATGTACATCTTACCGGCCAGTTACTCAGCAGTACTGACCTTGAACTATTCTGCAGATTCTTTAATATTTTGACTTAAAGTATGACTGCTTTACTCCAAGTCAATTACTGTTTAATGCAACACAATCTTGTCTTTGATCCACAAAAGTTCCTAACAATAGTTACAATCATGGATGCAATTCATTTTGCTTTTCATTTTGGTCTGCTCATAGAATAGCCCCAGGTTATGGCTTTGCGAGCTATATGAAAAATATTCTGTGCCTTAATCTCTCATATAAAAACCAAATCTATTAGCTTCCATTAAGCTTGGTTTCTAGTCCATAAGAAAATCTTTCTGAGGATCAAGCTTGGTTATGAAAGCATTGGATATATAGCTTTATGCAGTGCTCTCAAAAGCCACATTAGACAAGCAGCTGTATCGTTTCAGTTCCCCTTAAGAATTTAGCTAATTGCAGAAACCTTTATGACCTTCAGATGGAACCATACTTGAATTAAGCAAGTGGATTGCATTTCAAATGACCTCATACAATATGTAATATGTATCAAAGTGTCTGAGATAGCAACTATTAGAGAGAGGAGTTAGGTTACCGAGAGACATCTTAATGATCTTAGGCTCTGAATATATTGTGTATGAACAAAATTCTACAGTGACAGAGAAGTTTGAGAGTGCTGTGCTTATGGAGCTCTGGCAATCAGTCATCTGCATTCCTCTGTGGACATTGAGGAGAGATGGCCTGAAGCAGAAAGAGTGAGGAGACAACTGTGCTCTCTGGGGTCTCACGAAAGGGTGCTGCTTTTGTAAAGTGCCATATTCTATTCACATCTGAACTGAAAAATAACATGTCGAGCATTAACACAGGCTCACTCTCCTTGACCAAAATGAAAGTCACCACATGGATATGTAAGGACACAAATTGGTGTATTGTGGGGATTAAAGGGTTTTGGATGGCAGATTGTTAAAATGTGTGGCTGAGTGACACTGAAGAAAAGAGACAGTTGAACTCATGGAAATGTTTGAATCCTAAAAAGTGGGAGCATTTCCACATGCACCATGAGTACAAAACAGAGTACAGGGACTAAACAGCCGAGTAGGCTTTAGAAAACCATTTAGCAGAGAGGCTAATGATAAAGAAAGTCTCCAGTTTGCTACAGGGCATGAAAATAGGATTCTGTAGCAATGCAAAAAGAGCGTGTGGTCTAATGAGGCTAGATTTCTGCTTTTCCAGATTGATGGGTGCGTTTGAGGGAAAAGAGAGATGGATGAAGTGCTGCCCTTTGAAGAGTCTTGAGATGACATTTCCTGTGATTTGGCGCTACATAAATAAACCTGAGCTGAATTAAATTGCATCTGTCAGTCCTTGGCCCAACTGTAGAAACCTGTGGGGGGCAGCATCATGGTTTTAGGTTGCTTAACTTGGTCAGGTCCAGGCTCCATTCGTTATGTGGATTTAAAAAAAGGTCTTCTTACTACCTGAATATGCCAAATGATCAGGTTTTTCCATCAATCGGTTTTTTCAGAAATACTCTGAGATGATGGATTATTTGACTCACATTCTGAAAGAGCATGATTTGGCTACTGCTGAGTACAGACCTAAACCCCACCTAGAATCTTTGGGTCAGACTGCTAGATTCATTCAATGCAAAGTCTTGGAAAAAATATAATAGGATAGGTAGAAATAATGTGTGGAAATCACATAATCATGCACAGAATGGATAGTGCAACTGCAGCTAATGATGGTCAACAAAATACTGGAGAATCAAACTTTCCTTTTGGCCAGGCTGTGTATTTCTGACTCTGCACAGTACTGTAAACACTGGAATTAGGTGTCCAACCAATCTTAAGGGCCTATCCTGAAGAAAGGAATGCCAAGCTGCGCTTTTATGATGCTCTACATTAGAGAGAACCCTCAAACTGTTGCTGTAAAAGTGTAAAATTGAATGGATGTTTAGCCCTGTCTGCAGGCTCCTGCAGTTGTTAGCCTGATGACAGTTTCAAAATATGCTACAAGTCAAGACTTGAGCCAGCTGCTGTCCTTGGAACCTGTCCACACATTATTGTTATTAATGATAACAGAACTATTTAAATATGACAAGCTTTTTAGTTTAAGTGTTTTCTATTGTTAATAAATATTGTGTGTTCTTAAAACTGGGAATTTCTTTGCAAGTGTATTGAACAATATCAGTGACATTTTACAGGGGTGTACCCACAAAACATAGTGTGATTTATAATAAATGTATACATTGATTTCTATTTGAGAATAATAAATTAAAATTCACTGCATTTTATTTAAATAAAGTAACAGTAAACAAGGGAGGGGTTTTCTGATCAAAATGGGAAAAGTTTAAAGTTCTTTGTCTTACAGCCTTTTCTAATGCACTAATCAGTCTGGTCAATACTGAATAACTAAACATTTCATTATTTAATCACATACAGTTTTATACAGTCTGTGAAAAAAGAAAAACTTGTTTAAAACAATACAAACATAGAAGTTTTCTCAATGACAGTTGTGGGTTTACTGATCTTGCTCAGCACTCTGAGAATTTCTACACGCTGCATTAACATATTGACACATAGTGTGACACACATAGTGTTACAGCTATTGTAGCACTTTTTATTTCTCCATCTCACAATTAAAACAATGGCCATATCTGAGGTGATGTTGGATTCACTGTCTCACCCACATAACATTTCGTAATGTGATCCTTCTATGTGGCAAGGATCACTTGGACTAAACTTCCATAAAGCAGGCAATCGCTCTGCTCCTCCTCATGAGCTGCGTAAACTGGGGGATTGTGCAGATTGTTTATAGTCCAGATTAAATGGAAGGAAGGAATTATTGGAGCATATTAATATTCATATGTACATATTCAATATGTTCGTCATGAGAGATTCATTGAACCGATCTTTATTAGTCATTTTGATACATCATCATTCTAAAAGTCAGAGTGCAGTGTCATGACGTGATACTGCTCCACTGCCAGAGGCCTGACAGCTCTCCATCACCGGGAAAAAGCCTGTTTTGATCATTTTAGAAGTACTTAATAGGGGGGGGGGCATTGTAACTGTACTTCCAGGGCAACTTACAGTGATGTTTGTCTTGCTTTAATCTGAGTATGAGAGTTCACAGTATTTCGCCACAGCATCAGCCTTGTTACTATAATCCTTTTCCATTGTGTTCATTGGGACGTGTTGCCTAATTTGCGCCATTGTCAATGTGCTTAACCTGGAATTTATTGCATTGGCTAAACTAGAATTTAGGTTTTATTTCCAAACAAATATAACAGTCGCTGTATACATTTGAGCTGGTGTCTACCAGGAGATCAACCAGCTGGAAAAAAAAAACATTTCTTTTTTTCGCTCCTTAGTTCTCGCCACAAGCAGATTTAATCATTCATTCTAGAGCAAAACTATCCGTTATGTGCTGACGGCAGACGCTCAACTTCAGTGCGACACAATAAGCTTTCACTGAACTAGCAAACACGGCTGTTTAGCTCAATAGACGTTACGTTGTAATTGAATGGCTGTACGGCTCTCCATAGAAACAACAGCCGAGACTTATGGGTAATGTAGTACTGACATAGATTGGCTCTTTCAGATTGTCCCAAAAGTCTCAAAGGGGCTCAAAACGGCTGCTTTGCCGTACACACTCATCTTCAACTTAACAGTCTGGTCTGACACACGTCGGTTCCTAGTTTGTGTTAACTTGAAGACTATTTCCGTCGACCCTTCCCAATAATGTTTTTCATGCGGCGTTTTGATGCGCCTCCATCCAGCCTGCCCCAGCTGACAGAGGCGGGGTAGGCCTACTCCCCGGGCAGGTCGCCAGTGCAGCGCAGGGCCGCTGGGATGCGGAGACACAGTTTGTTCTGAGTGCACGTAGCGACCCCATATGGCCGCGTTCCGCAATGTAACATCTGGGATAAGACCGAGCTGTTTTAGAAGCAGGTCCGTGAGTAAGCATCTAAAGCATTTGAGAGCAGGGTTTTTGGGATGGATGATCCTGTTGACGAGCACAGCGTCATTTATCTCGTGAGTAACTGCTGTCGATTTGTCTCAATAAAATGTAGAAAAGTAACTTTGCTTCCTGGAGGTTAAAGTTGTCAAAAGTGGGTTGGTACTGCTCTGGTGGGTAGAAACACAATGTCAGTGTTGTACATCCAGGCTGTAAAACGCTAGGATTTTTTGAAGAAATTCACATAGATTTTTTTTATTTTTTTCAGCATTTCTACAATTGTACAGAAACTTTCCAGATGTTAGAATATGGAAGTTGATCCACCTGCAGTGGTTCTCACATTCTGTGCGATCGTTTATGTTCTTAATCAGTGCTCTAATGACCTTTCGAAAGAATGTTTCTCACTTTTCTATCTTAAGAATGTAAGAAGAGTCTAAAATGTTTGGTAAATTCATAGTTGCTGCATTTATTAAAAGAAAAGTGAAAAGATAAAGAACATGTCTGCGGGTGAAAGCCTGTTTTTAACTTGTTGCGCAGAATTAATTGAGGACGGCTTTGAAGCAAATGAAGTGGACCGGAGTGTTAGTGTTCCATTGTAAAAAAAAAAACTTCCTGTAATGTCCCATTGAATGTCTTCCTGAGCTCCGAGGAATATTCATCACCTCACTTGATCTTGCTCTAGTGTACTTGATCAGACTAATCTGTGCTTTCAATCTGGCCATATTGTATGAACCACCTCGCAAGTTTCCTCTCATTGTCTTCTAGGAAGTGCTGATGTGTATGCAGGGGCTTGAATTAAAATTAGCACACACCAAAGTGCACCTGTATTTGAGTGGAGTGTGTTCCCTGTGGCAGGACAGAATTTAGATGTTTTAACATTCAATAAATGTAAGCTGTTTTCGTCGTATTTGTGGGTATTGTAAGAAAATACATAGGACCAATCAAAAGGCAAATCCTCCTGCTGGGACGAATAAAAAAAAAATACTCCTAGATGTTTTTATTTTCATAGAAAAAAAGCATCGCAATATGAAAACAAAACACCAAATGTCCTTAAAATCTTCTATACATATGACAAATTATTAGTTCAAACTGCACCCTGATGACAAGTCAGTGCATAATCCTCCTATGAGGTCATAGCGAAGGAGCTGCATGGACATGCTGAGCAAAGTACCTGGTAAAGCCTTTTTTTTCTTTACACATAATTGAGATGTAGGGCAAGGAACTGTGGGACTCCAGCCCACCCTCATATCAGATATAGTGAAGGTTTCCACTCCCCTATAGTCACACAAGAGGAATGTTTGAGCAAAATGGGTTGAAACAGCTACAGTGAGCATGACACACTCATTCCAGTTTACATAACCTCAATCTGAAGCGTAATTAAAGTTATTTTGCTCTGGATGGTTGTTACCCAATACTTTAAAAACTTGGTCCACCGTGCCTTAAAACAATCTTTAAAAAACTTTGAGTGACAATTTGTTTAAACCGTTTACTTATCATTTCAATTGTCAAGAAATGTAAACAAAAACGACCTTAATGAGAATGTTATTGGGCGTAGTGATTTTTTCCTTTACAACAGCCTTTGCTCTGCGTGGTGCACAGTTTATCAAAGCACTCAAAAGGGTTGTTGTTCTATCCCGTGGAGAACTTGCCCGTTTTCCTTTGTCTCTTCATGTAGTCCCAGACTGACACGGTATGTTGAAAGTAAGAATGTGTGGGCCATAGCACTTGATGAAAGACTCCTTGTGCTTGACACTGAAAACAATTCTTCATGACATCATTTGGGAGGTTTTTTTTCCTCCCTGATGGTGCATTCTATTTATGCTGGACTTTCTCACAGCATGTACGTACTAGATCATAGCATGCTACTGTAGAACAGGCCTAATTCTCATTTAATGGAGGCGAGCCACTTTAGTGTAAGCTTTATCCTGATAATGAGTTACTAAGCCTCTTTGGAACATGGCTCATATGATTGGCTCAACAGTAGTGGATCAAAGCACCGTAATCTCCAGCATGGAGATGCTCAAAGGTTGAGAATTTCAGATCAGATTATTTGCTCCATTATTACCACATTACTAAATCTTCAGAATGACCGGGAGATGCCTTTTGCTTTGTTTGAGTAATAGATTATTATGACAATTGTTCAAGTATGCACCCAAATTGTGCCCACTGAAGCAGGGGTAGAGTAGAGGATTAGAAATAAGTCTACTTTTACTCTTTTTACTTTTAAGGGTTGTGCTCAAGTGTGTGTACTCAGTAATCTTTATGCTAATTGTAAAAAAGGATAATCTCTACAATGTGTTTTCTGATTTAATATTTGTGGTGGAACAGCTGGTGTAAATCGGCTTTTGTGATAGAAAGCCATTTAACATTCCTTATGAGGACCGTTTCAGCTGAACGCTCCTTAGTACGTCAACTCATCTGAATTATAATAAGAAAAGAGTACAAATATGGCATCCTAACACCAGGGAGATAATGCCAATTACACACCAGATAGTGTCTTTACAGCCACCAGCCTCCTAATCCAAAACAAGTGTCACTTTCGGCTGACGAGCGAAGCAGAAATGTCTGTCAGTTTGCGCGTGTCAAACAGTGTGCCATGAGCTCTAGATGACAGCAAGTCTGGCCGTGTGATGCATTGTGCGAATGCTTTTTGTGTGTCCTCAGGGTGACTATACCTGGAACAGTGCGCTGGGACACAGCGTTTGCCTCAAGCCCGTCCCTCTTCAGAGCCTCTCGGAGTTGGAGAGGGTTCGTCTCCAGGACGTTGCCTTCAGGCGGCTGCTTCAGTGCCATGACCTGCGCTGCCACATCACCATCCCTAAATGTATTCCTCTCCTCACACGCCTCCATCTTTTCCCCACCGACTTGCATAAGCCTTTTTGGCTATTAGCCTTTGCCGCTCTGCTCAGATTTCCACGCTAGCTGCCTTTGCTTGTAAACTCTGACAAAATGTCTAATCGTTTGGAAAATGAGTCTGAGAAGTGGAGCAGATGTGAATGGGAGCAATATGAACCAATTGTCTGTGTATCGTTTTTTTTCAGACGGCCGCAAGCACAAGAAGTCTCTCCGGAGTAAGTTTGATTCGTTGTCGAAAGAAAAGAGTAAAGACAAAGGTAAAGTTGCTGATCGTCTGCTCCCAGTTTTATCCATTCGTACTGTGATGAATTAACCGAGCAGTGTTATTCCAGGTTGCTGTCAGGATTTGGGGTGGCGAAGCAGCAATGTGCAGTAAACTATAGTGCTTCTCAGAGTGCTGAACGTAAACACATTTTTCTTATGGGCCTGCGAGACAGTCCCTGATTCTTGTTAGGCTTCATGTCAGCCTGATGCTTAAAAAAAAACAACCCCTATTTTTCCTTTTGACTGAAGCTGTGTAAGCCGACTGAAGCAGACTCTGTGGGTTGTTTATAGCGAGGGAGCTCTGAGTGATCTGAATCAGAGGAAGCTGTGATCTTCCAACCACCACGCCGCCCCGCCTGCTGCAACAATGTAGCAGGAAAGTGATGTTCTCTGTCAGACAGAGGGAGTCCAGGGAAATAACTAAAACAATCTTAAGTGGTGGCTTATTCGCCGCGGCCTGTCCTCCGGCAGGCCCAGCCCCCTCTTTCCTCTTTTCCCCTTTTGTTTACAGAGGCACTTGGGAAAGTATGCGCTCTCTGAATATTAAGTGCTCGCCACAGAGCACTGTTCTTGTGCTTCTCTTGTCAACTTTACCGTAAGAAGGTTTTGTTTAAAAGTTCAAATTTAAAAGACTCCGGTGCAACTCCATTTGGATGCTCTCCACAGAGAATGATCCAAACCGTAAAGCAGACGCGACAGAGGAGCAAGGAGTCATTCAGAATGTCTCTGTTGACTGGAATCTAACTACAACATGAACTTTAAATGTCCCTGCCTTGCTCTTTTTTTCTTCTCTTACAGAGACCACGCCACAGGCGTTTGGCATACCGCTGTCACATGTCATATCCAACGACCGCATACACAAGCTGCGACATGATCCCCCGCGGGAAGAGCACAGTAACCCCACTGAATTGATGCTATCCTTCCTTCACCTGTCCTCAAGCCTCAGAAGGGCCAATAAAGAGCTGTCCAGCAGCAACTCTTCGCTCAGCTCCACCTCTGAGACGCCTAATGAATCCAGTCTGCCCAGCACGCCAGACATTGCTGCAGCAACACGCAGGAGGGTAGGCTGTTTATGCCGGTAAACCTGAGCTAGAACAATAGGGAGTCTGTCAGATCATGGACCCAGGTTAGATGTCTCTGGGAATTTGTGACCTTTTTCAGATATTCACGTCATGTACTGACAGTGATGCGGCCTATAAAAATAAAATAAAACGGGCAGAAAATTCCCCATACGGTTGGCTTTTTTCTCGTCATTTACGGCCGTCGCCCATTTGCTTGGCAGGGAGGAGTGTCGGTGGACTGCATCACAGACCTTGACGATAACCAGTCTCGGCTACTGGAGGCCCTGCAGCTCTCTCTGCCAGAGGAGGCAGCCGGAAACAGGAAGAAACGACGTGACAAAAAGCTCAGCCTCAACCCTATTTACAGACAGGTGCCGAGGGTAGTGGATCTCTGCTGTCAGCACCTGGAAAAACACGGTACAGGGTTCAAAAGTACAACCATTGGAGCGTGGCATAAAAATAAGCACCTGCATGTGATCCACAGCAGAAAGCTGGTCAGGAGCGCACAATCAGTCATTTCAGGTGTCCTGTTCTCCGTGTTGTTTCTTTATATTAGTCATAGTGATGGACAATCTTTGTCTCTGTTCAGGCTTGCAGACAGTTGGAATTTTTCGTGTCGGGAGTTCCAAGAAGAGAGTACGACAGGTAACGCTTCCCACAGACGGAGAACCTTACAACACCTGTGTGTGTGTTTTCGTGGACCGGCCTGACATTTCGCAACGCTTTTTCTCACCTTACATTTCACAATGTTTCATCAGCTGCGGGAGGAGTTTGATCAGGGGCTGGAGGTGCGCATGGACGAGGAGCACAGCGTCCATGATGTGGCCGCTTTGCTCAAAGAGTTCCTCAGAGACATGCCAGACCCACTCCTGACCAGAGAGCTCTACACGGCCTTCATCAATACGATCTGTAAGAGCACGTACCACATAAATGACTATATGAATCACAATAATAAAACAGAAGTGTCTTTGTTGCTATGAAAAAAAGACTTTTTTGCCTTTGAAAAAAAAAAAAAAACATCTTTCCCTTTTTTCTGCAGTGCTGGACTATTCAAGCCTACAGAGCGCCATCCAGCTCTTGATATTTCTGCTTCCTCCGTGCAACAGCGACACGCTGCAGCGCCTCCTCTGCTTGTTGTCCACCGTGTCCATGCATGCTGACGACAGTCTGGACAGTGTGGGCAAGGAGGTAATGACGGGTTCAGTCGTTCAGATGTTAGCTCATCTGCATCATCTGTTTAGAAGAGACTGCTGTGCTAAATATTCAGCTCCGTTATGCACGATGATCCATGATGGTTTTTTCTTCACTAAATGATTAATGATTACTCATCACGCTGCACTACAACAACATAAATTAAGAGTCGGTTCTGCCCTTTTTTTGCTTCGTAGTGCATGTGATGTAAATCACCAAACCTCTTAATACCTTAGGCGCCCGTGGTTATGAACACTCTGCATTGATTAATTTGCATCTCCCTACTCTGCATCAACCGGATGCATTTATTTTCTGTTAGGCCAGGACATTTAAAGGAAAACTGTGTTAAGCTCAGATCTCTGTCCCTACAGCTCAAAGTACTTTAATATCATCAAAATCTTTTTTGTCATTCTTACTTTTGTGCTTTTAATCATAACGAAGTAATTTTTCTTCTAAAGGCATAAAAAACTGTGTAATATCAGCCCTAGTAATAGAATATTTAGAATTTAGTTACTTAAGAGACAGCCAGCCCCATTAAGGGTGACAGGCTTGATGTTGCAACAGACTCCCAGACTTTTCTTGGAACTCTGGAGGACTGACCAACGCAAAAGACTGGATCGTAAATTTCATTATTTCTTTCTTCAGTTTTTTGCATTTTCACTCGTCAGATCAGCTTAGTCTTTTAAAGTTTTTACTTTGAAAAGCTCTTGGTAATGTTTTCGTTTTCTTTCAAAGACACATATCAGTGAATTCTTTCTCTTGTTTTCTTTAGATTACAGGAAACAAAATGACGTCGCTCAACTTGGCCACCATCTTTGGTCCCAACCTTCTACACAAGCAAAAGAACTCAGACAAAGAGTTTGCCGTTCAGAGTTTTGCCCGTGCAGAGGAGAGTGCGGCCATTATCAGCGTGGTCCAAAGCATGATTGATTCATATGACATGCTATTCATGGTACGTTTCACTCTCTATCAGGCAGTCTAATAGCAGAGAACCCACACTTTAGTGTCAGGCTCTTAAGTTTAGATTTATAGGGAGTTCTTAAGCTTAGTAAACTTCTTAAGGCCTCTTAATGAAGTGTAAACATTTATTTTATAGGTTTTGAGAACCTTTTATACAGACTTATAAAAGGAAGTTGCTTACACAAATACACAAAGGCTTTTTTTCCTCTCCCAAATTGTGGAAAATTAAGTTTTATCAATACATTTTTTAGTCCTTAACTAAAACGCCACACTGTCGTACATTCAGTTTGCCTTAGTTGGGTAAGGTAAGATGAGATAAAGTATTCCTTCATTCATCCGACAAAGAGGAAATGTATGATCGAAAGCTCAATTCTAGATGAAAAAGTGCAATTTGGCAAATTAGTTTAAAAAGAGAACTGGGCTGTTTCTAAGGCCAGAGTTATCAAAGACTTCAACATAAAATATCCAAACTTGTTCTTCTCTTAGGTACCTGCTGACCTGCAGAATGAGGTTCTCATGAGTTTGCTTGAAACTGATCCGGATGTTGTGGATTATTTGCTGCGGAGGAAGGCATCTCAGTGCACGTGAGTTCTACCCTCTGTCTCATTTACCGGCCTATTAAAACATTTACAGAAAGATGGTAGTGGAAACTTAGTTGGACTTTGGTTATGACGACTCATTTGCATTGAGGATCTGACCACTTTTATATTGAAATGGAATGTGGATTTGTAATAGTAAAACCACAGCAGTTCAAAAATATATGACACTGACACAATATACAAAACACTGTCAGAATATTCTTCTTATTCCTTCTCTTATATTTATTGCATCAGTCACGTTTAGTAACCAGTGAATGAAAAATATCCAACAACATTACATCTGAAAGGAATTGTGAGAGAGAATGAGCTCTTGTGCTTTCACAAATGATGTTTCCTAAAGAAAGCCCTGAAGCTCCTTACTTCAGCATTTACAGAATTTGACCTGATTTTACGATGTCTGCTGCCTAGACAGTTCTGGGTCACCTCTCCACTTAGCCAAAAAGACTGTTTGAGCAGATCCCTTGCGTGTCGTGTTCGCTTGGTATTCATATGCATTTCCTCTTTTCTGAAAACACACCTGCCCATATCACCGATCCTCTCGCAGCAGAAGGTCAAAATGAACAGTGTTTTTGTTTGTGCCTGCAGGGAGCAAAGCCTTCTCAGAGCAGAGGACTCATTCTCACTTACTGAGCAGCGCTTGTCGAACGACTCCCTGAAAGCTTCCAGTGGAGAGGTGTCTCCTTATGACAATAACTCCCCTGTGCTGTCCGATCACCTGCTGAGCAGATACCCAGAATTCAGCGACCCGGTCTCAGACGGGTGTTCCAAGCACGCCAGACAGTGCACACTTAGCGGAGACTCAAAAGATCAATCAGGCAGCACTTCTCCAACCCTCTCCACTGATAAAGGTAAGCGAAATGTGTTCATTTGAAGTATTATTCAAACAGTTGGTTTGATGTTTTGGAAAATGATTATTTTACTGAGCGTTTTCTGTTATAAGTTGGCATTTAGAGCTCACAGCTAAGTGAAAGGAAAGTGAAGAGCATTTATTAACAGAATTTCAGGCAGTCGTTGGCCTTTGTAGGCTTTCAGCTAATCGATAAACTCCGTTTTAAGTGTGGGTTCAGCCTCTGGCTACTCACAGGAAGCCATCGAATGGTGTAAATAGAAGTGAGATTATCGAGGTTCCCACTCACTGCTGTCTGTTACTCTAATGAACATATTCTTGACAGGTATTTGATTAAAGTCATGTCCTCTTCAGTCCAATTAGACTTTCATTAGTAAACATAAAACTCCCTCAGAGTAAAAGTCATGAAAGATGTGTTAGAGTGGCTTCCTTATAGTACTTGTGTGTGCATGTTCTCAGTCAGACTTCCCTTTGCTATCGAACAGAACTACTGTTTTTAATCAGATCTTTCTTTTTAACTACTTTAAATATAAAAGTATTTACATGTGATTGTGAATAGGATTTCATCAAGCGATAGGAAACTGGAAGCAAGCTTAAAAAGCAGAACATGAGTTTGCTTCTATCTGTATTATCGCATCTTTTATACTCAAATGTTAAACCAAAGTAAATCCTTAATTCTACTGTTTCTCTCAGAGCCCTCAGATGACTGTTTTTGGGATACCTGGCATGAACTTTTCGGGAAAGATTTTATTGGTCACCACATTACTGGTAACACAATCTATTTTCCATGTTGCTCCAGATGGTTCGAGGGTTCGAAATGAAGGCACAACGTTAATGAATTGTTTCTCTCAGGCTCTCTTGGAGACGCATCCGAGTGTGACTCCTACGGATCATCAGATGGGCTGAGCAGTCACCAAGGCAACAACAAGCTGCCCGTCAGACCACCACAAACATCATTGGGTGTTTTGGATTGCAGGCCACACCTCCCGGTGAATCGCAGCAGCAGTGGTCCTCATGACCAGAGAGAGCAGAGACAGCCAGAATCCTCATTGCATCAGAGCGGCCAATCAGCAGCCATGAGCTCAGACAACCTAGCACGAAGGACAGGACGCCCTGCATGTCCATTACTTACAGACAGGACGGATAATGTGTCTCCCCCTCAGTGCTCTGGACGTCGAAGGGAAACTTCTCTGTCTTACTCCACACCGTCCATTTTACCTCGTCAGTCTGATTCCCCACGACTCCCCCAGCAAAGCTCTGCCCCTCAGACTGCAGACACTACAAACGCCTCGGGGCCTCGTGATAAAAAGGGCACTGATCCCTCAAACTGGCAGGCAGAGAGTTGGCATGTATGGCAGATGGCGTCAAAAGAAAACCCCGAAGCCGTGCCGGAAACCTTAGTGTGACGCATCCTTCACCTAGTTTCAGAAAAAGGGGGCCATCTGATCTGCTGTCTGTAATGAATGTTTTGTGTCTCATAAGGAAATTTTACAACACTGAAGGTGCCAAACTGTTTTATTTTAGTCATGATTTTCTATGTTGTATTTTTGGGCTCATTTAAAAGAATATCGTGTAAAATAATTAAATATAGACAAATGGTTTTCAAGTAACCATCAGAAACGTATAATCCGACATGAATGTCAGAATTAAAACTTGAATGTTTTTTATGGTGAATGTAAAGACACAATTCTTTATTTTATAATATAGCATTAACTGTACATTCATCTTACGTATAAAAACTATTTTAAACAACTTTATTAAAAGTGCACTAGCAAAAATGTTACCATCTGTTAAGTTTCATAATAATTTCTTCTCAAAGAAGTTTTAACCTGGCATTTATGTCTTGAAAAAAAGAATAATTGTACCAGGTAGACTGTTACATTTCAGCACTTATTTTCTTCTTCAGACACTATAACCTTTTCTGTTCAATTCACATTGATAATGCTCTCTTTTGTAGTTGAATATATCTATATTATTTTGAAATGTACAGTATTCAACTAAGATCTATTGTTATTGTTAATATTAATTAATAAACAGGTTCAGATTTGTATTCTTTTTGTCTGTTGAACTAACAGTTGACAAAAAAAAACCTGAACCATTGTACAAAAAAAAAAGTATCTATCTATTGAATTATTTTATTACGTGTATTAATGGTTTCGGCTGTGAGCAGCTCCCTTTCTATTTATTTGATCCTGATCACTGTGTACGCAACGCAGTTGTCAGGCAGCCAACACCACGCTCTGACTTGACCTTTTGAGTAGAGGCGCAAAAGGGCAGGTGCTACACGGTGCTCACACACCAGCAGTGTCATCGTGGGTAAAGCTCTCAAATCCCGGCTGGAGGATCCATTACCATTGCTATACTTGAGTGAGTACATGACACTGAACATCTCCACTGGATTTCTTTTACTTTACGTGTGTTATCGTCTGTACACATCCCCATTATTTGAACGGCAATACAGCATACAGACTACAATAAGTCTACTGTCTTCTAAATCTTTTCTGAAACTATTTTATATGACATTAAGAAATGCACACATATACCATTTTCTGCATTCCACAAGATTTGTTTATGTCCTCTCTGTTGCATAATGGGCACTAATTGAAATGAAGGCTATTGATTATTATTGACCCCTGATCTGATGTTCTGCTTGTATGAATATCCTATCAGCGGCGATGGAAAACGGCAACAGATGGAAAAGACATTACAGTGCATATCGACAGCCTTTCCAAAAATATCTTTCATATTGCTCGATAATGTAAATTAACCCTAAATTAAATAAAGATTCCAAATTCCATACCTGATTACCTGCTGGTAGTGGGAGCCTAAAAGTCTGATTTGTCATAAAATGAATGAATTACCCAAATTGGTCACAAGAGGGAAGCATAAGACCAGGAAACACTTTTACTGCTCTGTCACTTCCTATGCTGGGCGGCGATTTCACAGAGCGGATCTAAACAGAGGGTTTTAAGTGTTTTGCATTTTGAATAGTTCTTTCATGCATTTATTTTCTCACCATGACATGAATAGTGTTTTTTATGTGATAGGGATATAATCACAGTCGTGTTTAAACAGACGGAATTTTAAACTCCATGACAGTGTTTACCTACCGTGGTTCTTGAGGCACTCTGCCCAGCATGTTTTCCTGCTCCAGCACACCTTATTCAAATGAATGGGTCTTCATCAGGCTGCCGCAGAGCTCAAACACCTGAGGGGCTGATCTATTTGTATGAATCAGGTGTGTTGGAGCAAGGACACAATAAACCTTGAGGATCATGGGTGGAAAGCATGGCTCTCTGTAGAAGGATTTCCGTGTCCTTCAACAGCTTGTTTTTTTCCCCTTAGAGAACAGGATTATATAACTAAGCTAATTGGGTTCCTAGTTGGGTGCTGCAGGATGGCGACTTGCTTTAAAGTGGTGGCATTGCTTATTATGACCTAAATAGCTTGTTAAGCAAAGACAGAAAATGTCCCCCACGCCATGATCTGTGGTTAAATGTTCAGCGCTCAGCAGCAGTGTGGGTCAGTCTGCACCTACCAGCACTCTGACCAGACCAAAGAAATGAAACAGGCTGTCTGGATGTGTTTTACAGAGGATACAACCACACATGCTGTCGTCACAGCCCCCCCCCCCTACACACACGCCCAATCTGTGCTGCAGATCAAGCCTTTCATTATTCCAAATAGCAACTGGCCGAGCAAAAAAAATAAATAAATGAATACAACAACAGAAAAAAAAAAGAAAAAGCACTCACACTGAAGATGCGGCCTTCATGTGACCCATTTCCTGAAAGCAAACGGCAGAGATGTGATATTTAATTTTGTTTCTTTTCAGTGTAGATGGATGTAAATGGATCGTGTGGCAGCATGTTGCTGCTGCTCCCAACAGGAGGTCCATGCGTTCACTCCTGAGCATCAGGAGCAGCTGCAGGCAGGACAGAGGAAGGTCACAGCCGAAAATGAGGCAGAATATTAAGAAACAAAGAGCTCGGGCCTTGCAGTTTCAAGGGCAGGATTGATACACAATTCTCCGCAGAGCAAAAATAAAGCACAGCGGAGCTCATTAGGGTGTTAGTCATGCACAATCGCTTTCAAATCAAATGGTACAAAGCCTCAGTCCTTTTGCTGTCATTTTCAGAACCAAGTTTGGACTACTTAATATGCGGCAGCACACTGACTCACCATACTTTTTGAGTGCTTTCTTACCTCAAGGATTTACGCCCTGATTTGTTAAACCACATACAGTCCATGTGAGAGGTATCAGAACTCCTGAGGCGTGTTTCAGAAATTGTGACACAGTTTGGAATAACACAAAGGAACTTTTTTATGCTATTGCAACAGTTACAGCGTTACAGTGTGTATATACAGTCAAATGCAAACTAAGCATCCACCACAACAGTTTGTTAAGATTTGTTTGGAGAGCCACAGCCTTTAAATATTTCTGGTGGACATCTGTAAGCTTCTTGATGGTTTCAGTCCATCTGCTATTGGTTCACGGTTAAGCTCAAGTCTTCTTATGTTTTTTTTTTTTTTTTTTGCAAAGGCAGATTTCCGCTTTCGTAAAGGTTTTCCTTGGGATTTAGGTCAGAGCTCAGAGGCTGTGTAGTTTAAGATTGACCATCTTCTCCTTTTAGCCATCCTTTTGAGCTGGTGGATTCAAATCTTCAGATCTCTAAAAAATAAAATAAATATTTGCCTCAAACCAACGTTTGAGAGAACAAAGCAAACTGAGTTTCCTGCTTTGGTTGGTTCTGTCCACTGATCTATATCTCAACAGGAGCCTGGCTTATTCATAAAATGAGTTGCAAATATTAGCTTTGTCATTTGGTGCCATTCCCTCAGAGGAGGTGTCGGCTTTGGCCGCTGCTTGTGGAGCACAGCTTGCCACATATGGTAGTGACTGAAAATAATACAGATAATAGATTTATTTCTTTTCTTTTTTTTCCCCGTCCCAATCTGCCCCTACCCTCACACTCATCTATTACTGTCACATTTCAGAATGTCACCAGTTATCTTGAGCGTAACTGATAAAATGACAGCATTTCAACATCATCGATGGCCATCTTGCAGTCACTCAGCATTATTGTGCTTTTTGAAAACAGTGTTTTTGATGCTTTTCTGTCCTCACCACTGGGAGATGAAACATAATGACTTTTTTACCTTATAAAAGTATCATTATCAGTTAATCCAGTTGATGACTGTCCTCTTTGTCATTCAATAACCTGGTATATTTCTGAACATATTTGGTGTTTCCATCAGTGATGCAAGTGCATTAGAATCGAGTTTAATTTACTGTTTGTCATTAATGACCTATGAAAGCTAAAGCAATGCAAACATTTATGTTTCCAAATGTTGAGGAAAAGATCACAGCTTCATCAGTATTTGCGAGATGCCTCACTGCTTGGTTCTCTTCAACACATTATCAGAAAACTGTGATGAGTGTGTCACACTGTTGAAAACAAATCCAAAGAATTTTGGGCAGCTTTCAGCTCCCTTTGGTGTCCGAGTAACACCTAACTTCCCACTGTTGGAAGGTAATGCTTGAAGTGATACTTGCAAGTGGGACTTTTTATGTTTTTACTTCAGAGTCAGTGCCTCCAAATCAATTCATTTTTATCTGTATGAATTTATTGGGCCAGTACACTTTGAAAAATCTCCTCATTCCTGTTTTTCACATTCTCAGAGCTTCACCACGAGAGCTGAGCCCATGCAGCCTACGAAATCTCATTTCATTCATGCCATCTGTTCTGCCTCGTGTTCCAATTGGGATAAATGAGATTAACATTTTGAAACAGAGATCTTACTGTACCGAGAAAAATGGTGAAAAATACACTGAATTTATTTTCTTTAATATCTGTCCAAATGCTTAGCATGTGCACGTTTGGAAATGGAACCTTGTTGTGCGGATGCAAATGTGGTCGTGACATTTTAAATACAACGCAGCTTTTGACGTTCATCCTGCCGACATTGTTTTCCTTCTTAAACAGCACACCCTAAACAGTACAACAGCAGCTCAGTGAACAGGCCACTTGTGGGCCGTATGAGGTTAGGCTTTCGGGTCAAGTTTGGTCAACTCCATCTTGTCAGTTTTTTCGGGAGAAAATGATGCGCTGTTTGCATTGCATTAGTGGAACTCTTCAGGACACTGAAAGGAAGCTTTCATCAGGCAGCTTGCTCTTTCTTCAAACTTGTGCAATGAGCATAAAACTATGTGGCTGAAAAATGACTCCCATGCAACACTGGGAATTAGAGCAACCAGATGTTTTCCTCCTAAGCCTGTTGTTATAAAACTTATTTTATGGGACAACAGCAAACATAATAATTCGGAGCACTTTTTTGCTGCAACTGTCAGCATGCCATTTAGCAAGTACTTGTGCTCAGAGATGCGTTATTTTGGATTATGTATTTTGTGACAATGTGTGTGTGTGTAGGAGACATATGGTGGGAAAGTATTGGTGCATTTCTACCAACGAGACCTAGCAACAATATCTGAAATGTGTTTCCTATTTGGAAAAGTTGGCAAAAAAGTTTAGACATGTTCAGCTGTTGTTTTGTTGCGAGGTACAACTGATCATTACCAGATAATATTTCAGTGGTCCGCAGGCTGCATTAGTAGCAGAGACATCTGCAAGTAATACGAAATCCAAGATACAAACTGGTATTAACGCTGAGTCACATAGGAATAAGAAAAGGAATCCCATTGTATTCTCAACCATCAATGCAACGGCAAATGCTGAGCAAAGCAGTCTACACACAAGGTTAAGTCTGTTCTGTGAAATGAATTGAATCAACAAGTAGTTCTAACAAGTTCAGTAAAACTAGATTGGATGTGAGAAAAATACAGATTTTAAACAAAAAATGAGTTTTGAACAAGAAATACAAATCACATTTATTAAATGAAAGTGTACAAATGTGCTTTGTAAAATACTATGAACATTTAATGAAAT